GAGTGAATCGCAACGTGATTTTGCGACCACCACTCCACCACACCTGGAGCTTTTATATTTACCACTTCGAGAGTCATCCCACTCGGGAAGGAGTTCACAACAGTCCCAGGTACAACAGGAACCGGCGCTGCTTAATAGACTCAGGACATTTCAGACATCGTAATTTATCAATAGACTAGTCTGACTCTAAAAATATTTCCCGGCCTAAAAATTATTTTCTGCGAAACATTTTTCGTTAGTAAGTAAAAAAAAATAATTATGCTAGAAAAAAAAAACCCAACCAACAAACTGAATTTTTTTTCCAAAGAAATGGTTGATATCTCCGCGTCCACTAAGCAGCCGGAGCCGGAGCAACCCGTGGCAGTAGATGAGAAGTCTTCTGGCGAGGATGCCAAGAAGCTCTCGAAGCGCGCAATGCGAAAGGAGAAGCGCCGACTGCAGAGCGAGGAGCGCAAGGCGGTGAAGAAGCTCAAGCGCAAGGAACAGCAGCGCGTCAAGAAGGCGAACGGTCTCATCCCGCCACCCAAGGAGCTGGACATGAGTGAGGAGGCCGTGCAGCGTCGCAAAGACCGCGCTATTGCCAGACGTGAGGCCTATCTCATGGCTGCGGAGGAAGGCGTCAAGGTCGTGATCGACTGCGAATTTGAGGAGGAGATGAACGAGAAGGAGAAAAAAAGTCTCTCGCAGCAGATCATGTGTGTATAGGTTGTTCGATGTGTGGTTTGGGTGGTACGGTTTAACTTTGCTGTTTAACTGCATTGACAGGTTTTCGTACGGAGTGAACCGAAAAAGCCGCACGCCCATGAAGTACGCTCTTTTGCTGTGGGATTTTCCAACAATTGGTCCTAACTGCTCATTTCTTTCCAGCGCGTATATTACCTCTCTGCATGGTGACATCAGGAAGAACCTGGAGAAGATCAGCGGTTTTCATGAGTGGCAGGCGGTACGGTGAATGCTATTTCGCTAAAATGTAAAGAGTCTTTGGATGCTAATTATTGGATACTCTTTCAGTTCACTGGGACATCAAAGAGCTATATGGATCTGTTCAAGAAAGAATCACTCGTGTATCTTACAGCAGATTCGCCCAACACTATCACGAAGCTGAGCCGTGACAAGGTGTATATCATTGGTGGCATTGTAGACCGCAACCGCTTGAAGGGTATTACGTACGAGAAGGCGGTGGAACAAGGCATTGAGACCGCTAAACTGCCACTCGACACCGTCGTCGAAATGGGCTCTGCAACGCGTGTGTTGACTGTCAACCATGGTAGGTCTAATTGATGTTTGTTGAATTGTACTGATTCTAACTCTGTTGCGCACTCCAGTATTCGAAATTCTAGCGCAGTTTTCAGAGATCAAGGACTGGGCTCAGGCCACTCTATCTACGCTTCCTTCACGTAAGGGTGCCCACTTGAAGCTGGAAAAATAACGCTTACGACAACAAAAAGATGAACAATACGAATAATTCTGAAAAAAAAA